TTAAAATCCTAAAAACTTTTTTATATTCAAATTGTATGTTCACACTTATAAACTATCTATAACTTTATTATTATTATTCTTTAATTCTTTAATTAATTCTTTAATTATTTTTTAATTTATCTATAGAGCTCAGAACTAGTTTGGAAAAGCCCTTTTCACACTACTTTTTTGCGCTTTTTTTTTTTTTTAAAGTTAGAATGCCTAAATAAACTCCAGTTTCTTCTCCCCGCACCCCCCTCCCCCAAAAAAAAAGAAATCCTATTTCTTCATCATCGTTGCCGGACCTCCTTCTTATTAAAGCCATGTCCGCTAAACCATTTCGATGCTGAAACCCACTATCGCTGGGTGTTTTCATGCCACCTCCTTCTCCAGTCTATTCAACATGTCCCATGGCCTCTCAATCAAGAAACAAATTGAAACCCAAATCATCTCTTAAACCTAAGTATCTACAAAGTCCATGGCTTGTCATTAGTCTTTGTCTTCGATTGTCAAATCCCAACTTGACTTCCAAAATCGCCACCTGATCCCTTCCTCTGTAGTGTTTAACCTCCCAAGTCTGACGATCGTGTTGTTTTCCTGGATGCTCAAGGTCTGAGACGCCAACTTTGTCAAGGTCGATCAAGCCCAAATAAAGTTTGATCTCATCTAGGTAAGTTTTGCTCTTTTTTTCCCCCTTTAATGTATTTCAATTTATTGCATTTTATTGATTTCTTACCCAGCTTCTATCATAAGGTTGATTTTGATGTTCTCTGGATTTATGTTATGTTCTGTTGTTTTAACTTCAGTATAATGTTGATTTGTTCAACTCATCTTTTCTTTTGGTACATCTAAACAATGCCCATGTATCTCCCTTGGTTATCTTACTTTTTGCTATTTGGGGAATGCATTTCACTATTTATTATCTACCATATTTCCAAAATTTTTTGTTTATTGCATATCAATAAAACTATTGATTTGCCTATTCTGTTATCAAAAGCCTCACTTAAGGCGTCACTTTTGTCTTATATTTCCAATGCATTGGAAAATTTACATTCACCCGCTAATTTCAAATTATGCCAATTTTATTTTCTCAATTCTTCTTCATAATCTATCTAATAAATATTGGTCATTTGAAGGGTCTCTTCTACATGCATATATAATGTTATACCAATCTCTCTTTCTAGTAACACAGAAGGCATACATATCTTAATGGCTAATATGTTTGATTTTATTAAAAATTTTAATCCTTCTAAAGAGCAATGGAGGATAAAAGTTAGAGTAATTAGGCTTTACAAGCAGAAAAATTTTCGATAGCCAAAACTGGTTGATAATATTGAAATGCTTCTTTTGGACGAACAGGTAAGTATTGAAATGTCTTCTGTAATTTTTTTTTTTTTTTGCTTTCTTACCGACTTTGTGATTCTTTATGCATTCATAATTACAAAGATTTTTGGATTATTGAAATTTAATCTCAAAATTGTAGGTGATGGTGGGGAAGTTACAACAATCGATTTCGTTTTTGGCATTTGGTCTAAGGAAAAGATAAAGATCCCATATGCTTGGAATCTTATCTATTTTTATTATTCTTTTATTATTTTTTTTATAGAACATTCTGGTCTTATTAACTATATATATTTACAGATGAAGATGATGAATGTGTCAAAGGAATCAACATTGTGTTGAGTAATGATATGTCCGAAGGTACCATTCTTTGTTTTAGAATTCCTCCATCTCTAATTTCACATATTGGACTTCCTTTGTGTTTATGGTTTTATCTTTGGATTATAACTTAAGAAATTATTCTGTAGGTTACTTCGGTTCAATCAAAGATTCAATCTTTACATTTGACAATTCAAGCTTCTCATTCTATTGGTGACAAGAATAGGGTGTGTAACTAGCTTGGTTTGTCTTCCTTGCCTTTTTTTTTTTAATCTCTCCATTTTCATGTACTTGGGTTTATCATGCTTTCTTGGTACTATAGTTCAAAATTGGTGTCTGAGTTTTGAATTGATATGGGATTTTAGATGCTAATGAGCATCAACTATTTGAGTTAATGTCACAAAAAATTATCCTTACTAAAGAAATGAGACTGCAAACTAGAGAGATGTCTAAATGTTGGCATTTAATTTTGTAGCACCTTGGATGTTACATTTTAGAGAAGCTGAAATTTGCTACATTGCAATTCTTTAATTCTCAAGGAACATTTGGTGTTTTTAATGTAACGTATTTCCCAGTTCTCATTGTTGAGACTTCAAACTTACCTAGAGGATCAGAGTTTTCAAATCAAAGCTGAGGAGTTAGTGATTTATTTTAAGATATTGTGTTTTCAAAATGATTGTTCTTAAGAATAAGTTACGAGTTTTAACAAATTCTTTTACAATTGTTATTTATCTTTTCAAATCTCTTACATCTTTATCGTCCTTTCTCACTTGACATTGGATATGTTAATTCAAATGGTTTAGGTTTGTTTTCATTGAAAAGATTGAAGATGTAATTCTCAGTGCAAAGATGTTAGCACCAACTACCTTGGAATTTGAAGCTAGATGAATCAAATAAGAGGAAATGATCTGTGCTTATAATCTATGGGATGATCCTGCTAAATCCAATGAAATTCATGTCAAGTTAGCTGGTAGTGCCAAAGTGGTTGATGCTCTCAAGGACCTAAAATACAAGTTATTTATTTATTTTTATTTTTCTTTTTTTGAGATTAGTTTCAATTGAGCTTTCTTATAACATATGCTGATTTTATTTCATAGAAACGAGCACATAGAGTCTTGACCTATATTGGGTTTGTAGGCTAGAGTAGCATGATAGAGGTTTGACTTATAGCTTTCAGGGCATGGCATCATTTGCTAAGATAATTGAGATTTTAGAAAGGTTCAGTGTTCTTTGGTTTAGCTAGATGATACCCACATGAATAGTTGTATCTGTGTACCACCTTTGTTTTAATTTGTTAGAATCTAAATACACTTCTAAATGCATATTAGTTGTACCATTATAATATTCAGTTCATAACAAAGTTAAAGACAAAGGGATTCTTCAATATGATTCAATTCATTAGTCTATATTGAGTTTATATGAGAAATCAAGAGCTTTGCCTATTGAGTCTGATTAGTTTATAACAAAATGTTCAAATGCATCTTTGACGTCTCTATAATTTTGGGTTTTTTCTGGCATTAGTTGGTGGTAAATGGGTTTGTCTAGCTTTTAGCTTTTTTAATGTTACAAAATTACTTCACGCAAAATGGTTAATTGGTTTTAGCTTTGATGTTTCTAGCTTTCCATTTTTTTCAGCAATTATTTTACTTTCTTCATCAATTTGTTACATGGTTTGTAAATAAATGGTGAAGCTATCGTGAAGCTATCATGGTATGAAAGTGCCATTTTATGTAGCATCATTAGTTTAACATGAAGAAATCCCCAAAGATTATCTCTTGAAATATGCATAAGCCTAGGCTTTAGCTTTCTACTTATACAATTATTATCTAATGCACAAAACAAATTAGTTAATTATAACTGTTCTTGAATGATTTTCACTCTATCCTAACAATTCATATATAGGATGGACTTTTTTAAAAAAAAAATTAATTGTAAGATTTGGTATGTAATAAGGTTCCTTTTCCATTTTTTTGTAACGATTGCTCTAAAAGAATGCAAATTTGTGTAAACATGCAAGAAGTTAACAAATCAAATTGGTTGGTAGAGAGCTATCAGCTATAATTGTAATTGATATAAAGCTATGGGTGATGCATGCTGAAGTTGTTGAAAAGTTTGTATGTTGCTACAATCAAATAATATTTGCTAGTGATACTACTCATTGACTCCCTTGTTCTTGTGGTTTTTGTTAGTAACTCTATTTTTCTGAGCAAAAAACATTATGATTATTTAGAATTTTCCTTATCTTCTAATAAATAGTTTGTAACTGAATTTTCTTAGATGCACGTAAACCTATGGGATTTACCATTTTACCTTGCCTCTGTTTATTTCCTTCTCCTTTGTGGGTGTCATGGAGACAACAAAATGCAACATGTAAAATGCAATACATAATTACATATGTTAAAGGTGGCTAGAATTGGGAATTTGTTCACAAGTATAGATTGAATAATGACAATAAATGCTTCTTTAAATTTTGAATTAGTATAAAGAGATATCTTAAAGAAAGTTTACTTGTTATTAATTATATTCTACCAACTTAACTATATTTGAGCTTTGCTACAGGCTTCATAACTTTTGTTGTCAGTTTAATTGCTAGGCTTCACTAGCCTAATTGTATGTGAACTTCATTACAATATACTTTTGAGGTATTGATTTAGTTTCCATTGTTTTCGGTAAATGTATTCTTGCAAAACACATTTGATAATGTGTTATGTAGGATAAGACAATTCTCATTTCTTCAAGTTGAATTTTGCTTGTTGAAACCTCCTATGGCAGATTCCTTACATTGAAGTTGTGTTGTCCATGTTATTCATGAATCATATATGGCAGTAGTTACTATGGTTGTAATATGACACAATATCGTGAGTATTTTGTTGTTTTTTATTATATCCCCAAGCAATTAAATATGCATATATTGTGGGATTGATATAATTGGGATTAAATTCCTTAAAACTCACGGTTATATTTTTCTTTTAAGTAATGATATTATATCCTTTCACTACTAATTTCCTTTTAATATTAAATTTTTATTTTATTTTTTTAATTTCAAGGGCCTGGGCATTGCTCGGGCTATTAACTAGTTAGCATTAATCAAGCTACCAACAAGTTGTTATAATGTATTTTTTTTTTTAACATATTGCAATTATTTATAAGTTAATTGGGAGATGGGAGGAAAGAGTTTCGGTGAAGTTCCAACGTACAGCTCATAAGAAGTGAACAGTTCTAACTCAGAGTCCAATGCCATTGGATTAGAGCAGGTCATTCTGTAATGTATGTCTTTTAAAAGAAGGAACAAAAATATTATTAGAAATAGATAGTAAAATTAAATACAATGTATAAAAATATGTAATATTAAATAATTAGTTTATAGAATTTTTAATAGATTTGAGAGATCTTTTAATACTCTATAATAAAAATTTGTGAAATTAAGATTACTCTTGCCAAACTTAATTTATTTTGAATTGATTTTAAAATATAATTAATTCTGAGACTGAACTAATTTTTTTTACAAACAAATATAAAAAATAAAAAATAATTACTTCAAAATAATCTCAAATAAAAAAAGACAAAAAAATCTATACAAATGAAAAAAGATATAGAATTTAATGTATCTACAAATTAGACAAAAATTTTATAAAAATTATATCAATTACTGTTATTTTACTTAAAATTTTTACCTACTAAAAATACATTTAAAGATCAAAATATTTATAAAATTATCATAAAGTTAAATTCATTTTTTGCTTGACTAAGAAATACAAAAGAGAGAAAAGAGGGGATAGTAGAGTTGACTTGTCTTCCTCATTGCTCTATAGATTTTGGCAGGCATATGGTAATATAATACTATTAAGGCAAAACCATAAGTTAAGCCCTTGAACTAACCCTAGAATTGCTATTACACCCCCAAACTTTAATTGATGCATATAAGCCCCTAAACTCTACAATGGAAGCAATTTAGCCCTCACCAACACAGCAACTTAATTGCTATTAACTGTCGTTAATTGCCATTTGGGGACTGCCTCGTGTGGCCAGATATAGTCATGTCATGCCTAGTTAACAAGGGATTTGACGTTTGGTTTGTCCAATTAGATAAAATAATAATAATAATTTAGAAATAATTTAGTATATTAATTTTTGTATAATTTTATTTGTTATTTAAATAATTAATTCTTTTTATTAATAAGTTTATCTAATTTATATTCTAAGAATACAAATTAAAAATACAATAAATATATTTTTTGGTAATAAATTTATGTTAAAAAATAAAAATTAACTTTTAATTTTTTATCTATCTAATTAAATTCATTCATTTAATACCTACACCGACACTAAAATTAATATTAATTTTTACATTTTTATATACATTTATGATAAAAAACTATTAAATTGTGTTCTATTAGAAAAATTTTCATTTATTTGGAACCTGTAATATTAAATATATTCACTTATCTAATAACATGTAAAAATTATATTAAAAAATTGTAAAAAAATTTACCTTTATATAAAAAAAATAGAGAGAAAAAAATGGTCCCTATATCACTT